TGTGGGCCCTGCCTTATGAGGCGAAGCGGTTCCTCAGTCAACAGGCCTTGACCACGGCCGATCTAACTGTGGAAGCGGTGGAAAAATATCAAGCCACAACAGAGATGCTTCGGGACTCCAGAAAAGAATCCAGGAGCGCGGCCCTACCACGGACTGAAGGAACCCGTCCCAAGGTTACCAACCAAGCCTCTTCAGGAGCCCCAGGGGGAGCCAGAAACCCGCTGGGTCCAAAGAAAATACACCAGGAAAGGGAAACCCGACAGTGTTACCTGTGTGGGGGAGTGGGACACCTCTCCTGGCAGTGTGGGACGCAGGCGGACGAGCCTATGCCCACGGCTGAGTCATCCAGCTCACCACCTGTCCCCCGGTTTGCCTCACTCCTAGGACTTATAGATTCCCCCCCGGATCGACCTCCCACCTGCCCGGTGACTGTGAATCACCAGGACGTGGAGGCTTTGCTAGATTCGGGCAGCCGGGCTACCCTGGTGCGAAAGGACCTGGTAGGTCCATGTGATTTGACCCCAGGGAAAGTCCTTCCTGTGTCCATTGAGACACTAGTGACTACTCCATCGTAGAACTCCCGATAACCACTACCCGGGGGACCATACTCACGGAGGCGGGGGTGGTTGATTCCTTGCCTGTTCCCATCCTAATTGGACGAGACTTCCCAGCCTTCCACCTACTGTGGAGGGAGACTCGGGAGCGGCTAGGCCGAGTACCTCAAAAACTGAGAGGTAAAACTCATCCTAAAAACATTCATGTGAAACCCTCAGAATTACGCTTTCCGGCCTGTGCTCTTGCAGGAATGACAGGTGCCCAGGCTGACACCGGGGCGGGTCCGGACATGGGAGAAGAGAACATGGCCCAGGAAAGTGCTCTGATCTCGAGCGAGGAAGACGTCCCAGGCATCAACGGATTTTCCCCTCTCACAGGCCAGTACGGTACAGCCCAGTTACAGGATCCCACTCTGACAAATGCCCTAAGAAATGTGCAGGTGTTAGAAGGAGTAGTGCTAGGGGATCGGACAAAGAGATCGAGAATTTCTGTCGTAGTTGCCCAGAATGTCAGCAGGTGGCGCCGAAGCCCACATATAGAAATCCACTTATCCCCTTACCAATTATTGTACCGGGTGCCGGAGGCTCATAAGGGGGCCATTCAGGAGGAGGTAAGGAAGATGTTGGAGCTGGGAGTGATCGAGGAACGCCAAAGTGCCTGGGCAAGTCCCATTGTGCTGGTTCCCAAACCGGACGGGTCCATACATTACATTACATTACATACGGTTTTGTAACGATATTCGGGAATTGAACGAAGTATCTGAATTTGACGCCTACCCAATGCCTCGTGTTGATGATCTGGTAGACTCTTTAGGATATGCTCGCTTCGTAACCACGCTCGACCTCACAAAAGGCTACTGGCAGGTGCCCCTGACCCCGGCGTCTAAGGAGAAGACTGCCTTTGCCACACAGGAGGGGCTCTACCAGTATACCCGGCTCCCCTTTGGTCTCCACGGAGCACCGGCCACGACATATGACAGCGGTTCAGTGATGACTTTTCCTCTACAGATCACAGTTTGTGTGCAAGAAGTTAAAAAAATGCTTAAAATACAGAAATGGGAGAAGCAGAAAAGAATATCTCAGGAACAGACAAAAAAACTAATGAAACATTATCAGTGATATTGGAAAAAAGCAAAAAAATGTTAAAAAGCTGTTTTTTAAATAAAATGGTTTAGACTATTGTCAACATTTTAAAGTTTAAATGGGGACTGTAGCTGAAAGATTGACGAAGGAGAAGGATAACTTCAAAAAACTTAAGAGGATTTGAGAATAAACTGTTGGAAAACCATGTTTAAAAAGTTTAAGACTTGTATTTATGTACATTTAAGCTGAAAAGTCATAGCTGGAAAGTCCTAACGGAGCTGAATATTTTAATATTTGATATTTTAATAGCTGAAAATATAAAAGAGTTGAAAGGTGGCACGGACGAAATTGAATAATAAAAAGGAGAAGTTGAATAAAGATTGGACGAGCAATACTTAGAATGCTGTATACCATTCCAGCAATAAAAAGGAGAAGTTGAATAAAGATTAGAAGAACAATACTTGGAATGCTTAAGCAGCATTCCAGCAATAAAAAGGAGAAGTTGCATAAAGATTGGAAGAACAAGCCGCATTCCACGTATTATCTTTTAATCAGTGTTTACACCTAACACAAAGCATCTTTTCCTCAGCTTAGAAAAAGTAATTTACTTTTCAAGCTATGATGCTAACAGACGCTACGGCATTGAGAGGCCCGAGTAGAGCGACTGAGCCACAGCAGCTGATAAATAAGATGGGAGAAATCTGTAAAGTCAGTATTGTCGGAAGCGGATTCATGAAAATGTGCTGCGTGAGTGCTGTGTTGTTAAAACGAAAAGAAACCAAACCGAGAGCTACAGACGACAGCAAGAATTTAATGCCAGACTTAAATCAAACATATTAATAATACCTTATGAGTAAGGGTTACAAGAAAGTTTCTCACTAAAATTGTTTAAAAATTTCTTTTACAGCAGTTGTGTTCTGTTTCTTTTAGGGTCTATATTTGATCAACTAAACTGCTGATTAGATGTTCACAAGGTGTTTTTAGTAGAGACGGAAAGGAGCCAGAACGCTTTATCAGATAAGAACATTATATATAACTTACCATGTTAAAATAGCACATCCAATTACTACACTTTTTGGTCAAATATAATTTTAGAGAGTCTAATACACTAAAGGATACTAAAGGATAATGCTGCAGAGCAATTTGAGGTGTTTTGATATGAACTTGACCAACGTAATTTATCTTTGTTTTTATTATATATATATATATATATATATATATATATATATATATATATATATATATACATGTATATATATATATATATATATATATATATATCATTACTATTTATTATGAAAAGAAATCATAAAAAAAATGTGAACGTATTATGTGTTGTTTTTATGTGTGACTCTGTGCGAGGACATAATCCATTCCAGTGTTTCCTGTTTAAATATATGGCTCCTGCATGTGAAGATGTTTACTCTTTGAAGAAGTTATACACAAGTGTGGTATGATTTGCAGGTAAACTTTATGTTTTTCTGTTTTGTGTTTCTTTTCTTTTTTACATGAATTTTATTACACCACCAAAACCTATAAGCACCGACTAAGAGAAAAGGAGGATGATATTCTGTCTGCTTTTGGCAGGTAACATATTGTCCCATCTATCTTTCCAATTTGATATCTACAAATGCCCCATTGATTAATTAAAAACAGAAAATGGCCAAAGCGAGAAATATCAATTTATATTTCTCTTACAGCTTTTAGCAGCCCTGTGTTTGCTGGAGAGTGGACGGGAAATGTTGCACCAAATCTTGAGGTCCTGGTCCAGTCCTGTGCTGTTGTACCCTGTACATTCAACCATCCTAAAGAATACCTGCCAACCTCCAAAATCAAAGCGATCTGGCATCTCAAATCTGGTATGGACCAACGCATCTATAGCGAGACTACGACGCAGATCTTGGAAAACTTTAAGGGACGCACAAAGCTGTTGGGACATCTGGGTGATGGCAACTGCACCTTAGAAATGATTGACATCAAAGATCATGACAACGGCCCTTTCTGTTTCCGGATTGAACTTCCGACTGGTTCCATCGACAAATTCACTTCTGTGGATAATTGCGTCACGTTCAAGTCATATACAATCAATGACAATGAATACATGTGTTAGTAGTTTGTAGTTTATTAAATTTAAGAAAACAGTAAAGAAAAGTATGTCAACACAACACAACAACACAATTGCAGATTAAGAACTACCTACATACGGACCTTCTCGACCGGTCCGCAAAATATTGTCTGACATGAAACCAGTCCGTGAGGTAAGAAAGGTTGGGGACCACTGGGCTGATCCACAGCGTGTGTTTACACACCTCCTGGATCCTGATTGGTCGCCGCTGCAGCCGCAAGGCACTGATTGGATGCTCACAGATCGTAATACAGCGCAGATGAAAAGGATTCAGACTACGGCGTTTACATGTTCAACAATGGGAAACATAGTCTTAGCTGTTTTAAAATTACACCAAGTTTATTTCGGATTATTCCAACGGAAGAATACAAGGCGCAGGGAACTTTGAGGTGCGTAAACGCCAATTAGAGGTGCGTAAGCGCTATATTTCCAAAATTCTAGAGGTGCGTAAACGGCGTTGACGTGCGTTTACCCTCCACTACAGCCCTGGTTGTAGGTTGGAAATGCTACACGTTAGTTGTTATTAAATCACCCCCCCCCTTTTCCTTGTTAATAAATGCACTCTTTAAGACGTTATATTAAGATATTACACGATCACGTCAGTAGAGGGCGCTGTGGTGCTGCTGTGGAGACAATGGAGAGAACGTAGCTACAGGCTCCGCTCATGCGCAGCTCAGAATAAAACTAGCTCTGGCTTGAGCATAACGCTAACGTGTGTCCTCTCTTCATATTAATCCACAGGTATGCTAAAGTTGTTTTATGTCTTTCACTTGGGTTAAGATCGAAGGTAAATGCGTGTAAATGTTCTGTAATGTGTTAACATGACTGTAGATGTGTGACCAGATGTAGTTAGCTGTATTTTGAAGGGAATTGGTCTGACGGATGTTGTAATGCTAACTTGCTAGTTTTGTCCGTGAACTCCAGTGTTAAACCGTAGTTGCTAAATGTTCATAGGACTGGATGTGGAAGAGATTTTTATTCATTTGTATTTGTTCACACCATGTTGTGGAAATTGTAAAATGTTATGAATGCGCAGCTCAGAATAAAACTAGCTCTGGCTTGAGCATGACGCTCGTGTGTCCTCTCTTCATATTAATCCACAGGCTACACAGTGCTTCCTAGCCTGTGTAACCTTTGCTGCCGGTCCAGATTACCCCTAGGTCTGGTGCCGGTAACAGTTAGTTTAGAAATTATTTTAGTATTTGTCCTTATATTATTTTGTTCTCTGTCTATTCAAGGAAACGCATTGAAGAGCTCCAAAGTGTGGATGGCAGGTAAAAACAAGACTACACAATTAAGTTTGTATTGTGGTAGATTACAGGGAGAGGTGAGGGGGTTGGTGCTGGAGGGGAGGTATTTTGTGGCCAGATGCCCCCCGAGCGTTGAAATAGTTGAGTAATTAAGGGCAGCATAAGAAGGGGGACAGACAACCCAACAGGAAGGAAGAACGAGAGAGAGAGAATAGACCAGACGAAGTGAAACATTGTTGTGGACAGGAGACAAAAGGAGAGTTAACAAAGTGTAAGATTAACTGGATTGACCTGGACTGGCTGACTACCCCCCTGTGTATCGAACTGTTCTGGAAGAGGACCCAGCAGTCTATGATCTGGGACAAGACGACAACAAGAACGGCTTAGGAAGTGTGACGTGGCATTGAGCTTATCCTTTTTCATAATCGATTTGATCGAAATAAACTGCGCTAACTGTACCCCGTGGCTGGCTTGTCTTCTTGAACAGTGATGTGGAAATCCACACCCATTATTATTATTATACCACAGTATTCATTATTTTCCTTTATTGTCATCATGTGCTGTTAATTCCGGACTATAGAGCACCTGAATATAAGCCGCACCACCTAAATGTAGAACCGGTCTATAAGCCACAGGCGTCCACGCGGCAGAAAAACGAGTTCTTCACATTGCCGTCTCCAACGTCTCACCATTGATTCATTAATGGCAAGCTTCCGTGAAGCCGCTCAGTTTCCTTCTCCGACAGCCAGATTGGTTGCCCGCAGTGGACTGGACTTGAGAGGAGGATGCGTCCGTTAGTAAGCGAGGATCGCTATAGTTTTGGTCATCACCAGCGGTACACGGTGCATGCGTGACGTGACTGTCTTCAGATGGGGGGAATTTATGAATGAACATTCTGCCACAACGACGTTGTTACGTATCATAGCGCTTTTGTTAGTGGGTATACGGCGTATACCTGCGTATCACGTAGACTACACCACTGATTGCCCGTAACTTGCACCTGTCTCGCGCGTTATGATACATTAGTCGCACCGTTGTATAAGCCTTAGGGTTCAAAGCGTGCGGAAAAAGTAAAGGCTTATATTTTGGAAATCATGGAAATTTTCTGTGTCATCTTTAGCATGTGGAACCGGGTGTCCAGGCTCTCTCGCAGGTGAGAAAAATGGTTTTTGATTGTTGCTGTTGTCATAGGAAGTATCAACAATCAATTAAAGTTATGTGAAATTTATTTTGTAAAATCTTTAGGATCCGTTCCCACATGTCGGGACCTTCTCGTGCCGATCCAAGGTCATTATTTGTCTACTTCTGACTCACCCTGCTCGTGTGTGTGTGTGTGTGTGTATATTAGATTCAAGTTTTGTCAGGAAATTGATTATATTTTTGGTTGCTGAACTTTAGTAACATGAATTTTAATCCCCAGACATGCCAACCAGAAAGTCTCCAAGGGTCGTTTCCCACCCCCCAAAAGGTACTTGGTCTACCCCTCTTAAACCTGAGTGTTTTTCTAAATAAAGATATCATATATTGTAATACAGCCAAGTCATTACTTTTTTCTTTTCTCTCTATTGCTGTATTAAATGGACCTCAGCCAGAAAAAAATCTGCAATTATCGACAGGTACTTTTAATTTCCATTGATTTATTCCCAATGATTACAAACAGAATAGTGGCACTATCAGCATCTGTGACGATAATGACAATAATCTTTTACAGGACCATGATGACGGGGATGATTACATGAACGCTGTGGACAACAACGTCTATGGAAACATGTGAAAAAACAAATGAAATGTGCTTGAAATTATCATTTAAAGTATCTGATGACTGCAATTAATAATAATAATAAGACTGCTTTGCTAACCTCTGTAAACGAACAAATTATATTTGATTTTGGTTTTGGAAATTTAGTCAATTATTTAGGGAATAAAGAATTCACCAGTAAGTGCAACTTGATTCAGTCAGTGTACCTGGAATAACGAACCAGGAAACATTTATTACCAAAATATGTCAGACATACAAGGAATTTGACTTGGTGATTGGTGCATAGCAGCAGACGGTTAGACAATGGACAAGAAGCCACATAAGATGACATAGTGCGAGAGGAATTAAATATGCTATGGGTTAGTATATATATAAAAAAAAAAAAAAAGTGCACCGTGAAAGTGACAAGTGCATGTGGAGTGTGAAGGGAGAGACCAGTGGGATGTCAGTCAGTCGGTGGGGGACCCGGGCTCTGTTGATGAGCCCGACTGCCGACGGGAAGAAACCATTTGTGTAGCGGGAGGTCTTGGTCCTGATGGACCTCAGCCTCCTGCCAGATGGAAGGGACACAGTTTTGTCCCGGGCGTCTCCGTTGTTGTTGATTTTTCGAATAATGTTTCTAGTGATGCTAATTTAAGAAAACCATCAGGTTCCATATTATTCTATATTATTCTTGAAAAAAAAGGGGTGATTTGTTTTTTGCAAAAAACAATAGCAAACAAACTCTAAATTATATCAATGCGTTTTATTTGCTCACATTTCAAACAATTCAGCAAAATATTTAAATTCTCTAGAGCGCATACAATCATAGAGGCATTGTGTATTTGATATCTCATATAATAACCAAACGGAAAAAGAGAAATATTTTACAATAATCTTGACCTGAGCAAAATTACTGTCACGATCCAGCGCTCCCTTGTTTGTTCCAGACCTCGTTGCCTCCTGCCTGATCCCTGACTGTACATTCGCCTGTCTCCTGAATTTCGACCTCCTGCCTGTCTACTGGATTCCACTAAGCCTACTCCCTGTGTAACTGTTGTTGATTAAATCTGCGCTCTGCGCTTGGGTCTACTCCGATCTCCTGTGATGCGTTACAATTACATTATGACAAAGCTGACGTTTTAACTGCACTTTCAATGAGCAGCAAGATATGGTAGATGGCTTTACAGTGTTGAGAATATGCCGCATACCTCTTAAGCAAAGTCACACAAAAAGCATCGGCCACTTGACAGAATCCATCTCGCCGTCTGCGGGTCGGAGCTGTGGATGAAGTGACACGTATTTCAATGCTTGTCACGTGACACATTTACTTCCCTCGGTTTTTATTCCTCTTTTAATACAGCACACACTGCACTACACACAAATTTTAGTTTATATTTTTAAGTTGAGACAACACTGGTGTAAAATCATCAAAAGAAGACATATAATGTTTGCAAACAGGAGACAGAGTTAACACACATACAAGTCATGCGCCAAGCCTACTCGAAGGGTTTCATCTTCGGAGCACAAATAAATAGTTGTAAGATAAACATGATAAAACAGGGGGGACTCTGGGCAAAACCCAAGTACTGGTAGTCAACCTCGGATGTAGACGATCATCTTTGGCACCACAAGATTGTAAACATCGACGCACAAACATCTTGACTATACGATTACCCAGAAAACCATGTGCCTCTTTGTGAACAAGCACAGACTCTATTGTACTAAAGTACAACATTATTGCAGTTTTTCCAACAGTTGGTCTTTTGCTCTTAACTAAGCTTATATTACTTATGATTTTATTCTATTTTTACAATATATAATGTGAGAACAATATTTTCAGGTCTTACTTTTACTCATAAACCCATCACAAATGTTTCACATTCACCTTTAACATTTTTAAAATCTTATATTTGTTCAGCATTTGTTACCAGAACCCTTGACCATGTCACAAAGCTTGCAGTTTGGTTCGCACAGTCGTTTCCCTCGCAGTTTTCCTTCAGGTTGACAACATGTAATGTTATATTGTCTTGTCGGCTGTAGTTTACCAATGAAAAGTCACTTTCTTTACTTAGCTTTTGGATGCAAGACTCTAAACCCAACAGCTGGTCCTCTGTCGTGCTAACACGCTCCTCCTCTTTGGCTATGCTGGTGCTCAGTGTGTCCAGCATGGTTTTCCATCCACTTGACTCTAGACATAGAAGGTGGGATGGACCTTCATGGTCCTGGGGAGGTCAACCGGACCGCAGCAGGGTTAATGACCTTGGAGACAGGGAAGGGGCCGATGAATCTCTAGGCCAGCTTGCGAGACTCCACCTTGAGCTATAGGTCCTTGGTGGACAACCAGACCTTCTGTCCCACTTGGTACCGAGGAGCTGGAGTTTGGCGCTTATCAGCTGCCGTCTTGTACCGGCCTGATGCCTGAAGTAGTGCCTCCCGTGCCCTCCACCAGGTAAGGTGATGTTGACGCACCAACGCCTGTGCCGATGGGACTGAAACCTGTCTTCTAGATCTGGACAGACAGAGGGGGAAAGTACCCGTACACACACTGAAAGGGGGAGAGGCCGGTGGCAGAAACCGGAAGTGAATATCGAGAGTACTCGAGGCCAGTTCAAATGTTTGCTCCATGAGGTGGGGGTCTGAGAGGTCGTACAACGGAGCACTGTCTCCATCTCCTGATTCCATCTGACTGGACTGGAGATGGAACCCGGAAGAGAGGCTGCCTGTAGCCTCAAGTAGTCAACAGAATGCCTTCCAGAAGCCGCTGTGAACTGAGGTCCTCTGTCGGAGACCACATCCTGTGGAAGACCGTGAAGACGAAAGACCTGGGAAAGCATAATCTCCGCGGTCTCCTTGGCAGAGGGGAGCTTGCGCAAGGGGACAAGATTAACCATCTTTGAGAATCTGTCAACAATGGGGAGAATAACAGAGTTACCTTCCGACCGGGGAAGCCTGGTGACAAAGTCCACGGAGATGTGCAACCAAGGCCTTTGTGGCACAGGGAGAGGGTGTAGTAGACCTGATGGGCGCTCCCGAGAGTTCTTATTCTGTGCGCAACTCTGGGAGGCGGCCACAAACTCCCCCGTATCCTTCTCCAGCAATGGCCGCCAAAACCGCTGACTAAGGAAGCTGATGGTCAGTCGTACCCCTGGGTGGTAGCTTAGTCTGGAGGAATGTCCCCACTGCAGAACGCTAGAGCGGAGGTTAGTGGGAACAAAAAGGCATTTGGGAGGGCAGTCGTTCCCTGTTGGCCCTTGTAGGATATTAGAAACAAAGTGACGATCCGGTTCATAAAATTAATAAAAATGCATATAGTGTACACCAGAATACAGCCATGATTCTGAAATTGTGTAATCAATAAAGTAATGACATTATTGTAAAACCACTGTAATTCTGCAGCTGCAATAGAATAATACCAATGTACAGTTATGATTGTATTTGATGTAATGTAATCAACTGGAATGCATGCATGTAATACTTGAACAACAACTGATATTGATTAAGGGCCATTCGAAATCCGAGTTACATTGAACTCACTAGAAGACCACTCCCAGAGGTGTGGACACTAACTTTCACACCTTTAAGCATTGTTATAAATACCTGTAGGAACCATTGTTCTCGAGTTCGCTGGTGGAGGCGACAGATGGGCAATAGGGATGGTCAAAGGACTGACTTGGGGCCTGTTGGTTGCTGAGACCAGCGGCTCCTCAGCTGAGATGTTCTTTTTACCACAACGCTATCTCCTTTATTAAATACATTTGATTTCACCTTTTGATCAGCGATGACCTCTGTCCGTCCGGCGTTTCTTCATTTTTGAACACAACAATTTGGTGACCCCGACATGATGGAGAGCAATGGACGGACGGAGGAACAGCTGATCTGAACAAGCCCAGCGATCGATTTTCTTCACTCACACGGCGCCATCGAAAAGGTAACCGGCAACCAGTTGTTTTAAAACCGAAATGCTGTATAGTTTATCATAGAACATTTAGGTGTGAGTGGACAAAATACGATGTTTTGAGGTAAACTAAATTTTAGAGAAAAAATGTTTTCTCTTAGCTTGAATGGCCGTTGGGATAAAAAGCATTGTATATAGTGTTTGTTTGGACGTCTCTGTGTGTGTTACCGACAAAGCTTGGTTGTGTAGCGTTAACGTTAAGTGAATGGGCGACGTTATTTAACTGATCAGTCATAGAAGGAATGAATGGATACCTAGTATAGGCCTCTAACCGGTTGGGGATAAACGTATAGCAATTTATAGACTGTATACGTAATGCACTGTGTAGAACGTGCTAGCAGAGTTAAGTGCACAAGGCCTGTTGGAACCAGGATCGTGTTACCAGCAGTAATTGAGTGGAAGAGGTTCGCGTTGTAATGGCGGTTCTTTGTTGTCTCCGTAAGCTCTCTTAAGACTCTACTAGGCGGCACAATAAATTAAAATATGAACTAGACGACGCCAATGAGGCTAGACAACAAGATTAAAAAATTTGGAACTTGTGAGGACAGAGCCACGCGCCATGGTTGTCAAGAACTGACTAAAATTTTGAGGATAATTAAGTGCAGGGATAAATAGACCTAAAATAAGAAGAGATAAGATAAGAAATAGGTCATCATATAACTCACCTTGCAGGTGAGGACAGTGTCACGGACCAGCGCGCCAAGACCCTCAAGGCTGGAGTTACAATTTAAATTCAAAAAAGGTGAGGATAGTGCCGAAAATAATAAATTACTGGATACATTTTTACAATAATTATAGACCAGTTGAAAACGTTGCGAATTTGTATATAATTGTATATTGTATGGTTTTGTTTGGAAAAGACCACAACCGGTTAAGTTGTTTTGTAGCCTAAACTCGTGAGGACAAAAGAGCACATGGCCTAAACAGGGCCTGTAAGGCTCTGTTCTTTGAAACAAAGGGCTGTGATCGGAACCACCATTGGTTGGGGTTGGGGAACGCGGAGCACATGTTTTTGGAACATTACAAGATGGCGGGCGGAGATAAATTGAGAAAACTGTTAAAAGATGGCTGAAAAAGAAATTCTCAGCATGGTCTACAGAGGGGATAACAATGACTTGTTATCCACCATTACTGGGGGTGGAGAACATGTGCTTTGGAGATTTCCAAAATGGCAGCCGGCGACAGTTAAAAGAAGAAAGTTACAACAGATGTAACACAGTTTTTGTATTACCCACCTTCACTCTGTATTTCCATTCAACAGTGCCTCCATTTGCAAATGATTCTAACATTTTTTCTTCCTCCATTCTTAGGACCATGTGATTTTTGCTTGCATTACAAACGGTCTATGGACTTTTTCTAGGCTCTATGCTATTCTTTGTTTTAAAAAAAAAAAACCTTCACTCTGTATTTCCATTCAACAGTGCCTCCATTTGCAAATGATTCTAACATTTTTTCTTCCTCCATTCTTAGGACCATGTGATTTTTGCTATGCTATTATGCTATTCTTTATGTTTTAACGTTTATATAATTGTTCGATGCTTACATTGACACAATTATCCCATTTATTGTTTAAACATTTTTACAATTACTGAGACTCTGATCAGAGTCTGCAACACACTCTGCAACACAAACACAGCAACAGCGCACCTGAAGGTGCACATTTGCACACACATTACATTACATGTCATTTTAGCAGACACTTTTATCCAAAGAGACTTACATTACACTTTAAACCCATGGCTTTTTCACATTTTTGCCCGGGGAGCAATTAGGGGTTAGGTGTCTTGCTCAGGGACACTTCGACATGGAACATGGGGCAGCCTGGAATCGAACCACCAACCTTGTGCTTCCCAGCACACCTTCTCTAACCCCTGCGCCGCGACGACACACAATGGGACTTCCGCAAGAGACAAAAGACAGGACGCTGTCTGTGGAGCCGGTCTGGTAAGACAAAAGGGAGTCGTTCCGAGAGAGGTGAGACTGTGACGACCCCTGCTGTGGAGGCAGCAGCCTTCCAATGAGATTTGGTGATTGAGGGCACCTGGGCCAGGTGCCCTGAGATTAGAAAGCCCTGTGTTCATTCATTGATTCTGTCGCTCTCTCCTCTCTCCTGTCGTGACAAATGGGGGGCTCG